TGCTGCTGTACACTTCTTCTAAAACAAGTTTGGATAAAAAAAACATCTAGAATATATGTTTAGTATTTTTAGTATATTTTTCTTTGAATTATACAAGAATTTTCATCAATTGATATCTTTTCAAAACCCCTGGTAATGCATGCTGAATTTTTGTCTACGAATATCTGATGGCATCATTATCATAAATTAAGAATATCTTGAAAAATTATCAGTAGGTAAGGTACGTTGCGTATGTCCTTAAGCATGCCACGACCAACAATCGCCAATACCAAAATGTGTTTAAAATCATGTTTGTTTTATTTTCCTGTATATCAATAATATGTTCGTAGATTGGCGACATAAAATTAAAATCTCTTAAGGTACTTCAATGAATTTTTGCATATTTATTCAAAACCATTTTTTCTATTTATAGAATAACTTATCAAACATACGGGTTATCTTTGAATAAATTGTCAATATTTTCGTAAGCTATGGTATGACCATGCGGTGAAACCTCAAAATACGACATATTTCTACTGAGTCATATTGTTATGAGCAATTGCCGTCCAGTTGTCACCGTCATTTACTCGTTCAATGTGACACAATTTTTCTGTGAAATCTACAATCAAGCCCGTAGTACGCGTGGGTATCGGTGGGTGAGCTTTTCTGAGAATAACCTTTTCTTGTAGTTCTTAAATGTAAATTTAGATGCTGCTTGCCCCCTCCCTCTCAACCCCCCCCCCCCCAACCCCCCACTCTTTATTCTTAAAAGGTCGAACATTGGCAAATTCAAGGATTTGAAAAAAAAATACCGAAATGTTAGAGAGATGTGCAACTCTCCAGAGGGAGGAGAGACACATTTTATGCTGATTCTATTGTGTATTAATGATAATGACAAATTATTAATGTATCAAGCTAAAAATTTCAACTTTTACTGTTTTATTTCCTTATAGATTTTGAAAGGACAGCTAATATAGTAACAATTTTATCGCATCAGTCCACGAACTTTTTGATAACCCCTCGTAGCATTATCGTTGGACCGTTTTTATTTTATATTGAAAAACTTTGAGCGGTGATTTCAAGGTGCATGGATTAACTTCTAGAAATCTAGAACCTAGTCAACTTGCCAAGAAGTGCTGACAATATTTTTAAAATGAACTTCTGATGTAGAAATTCTGATACTTAAACAAATTTTAATAAGTACATGTAAATTAAAGGTAAAGGTTGTGCAGGTATAAATTTGAAATAACATTTTTTAGTTTTTTTTTTTTTTTTTTTTTTTTTTTTTTTTTTTGTTGGAGAATTATTTTGTAATTGAAACTCGAAATTAATTTGTATCTTAAACCAAGATTTATATTTTAGATTTACTCTCTAGAATGAAGGTAAGTAACACTTTACTGTTTATTTCAAAGAAATTTTGTTTACAGTAGAATACAAGCACAATGGTAGCGCATTATCTTTCCTTTTTACCAAAGTATGATTTTTACCAATCGAATTTCAGTAAAAGAAATATATTGTTTGGCACATTCATATAGGTTTCATTCCTCACGATATATGTAACAATTAGTTTACCACTGAAAATAAATTTACTTTTAAAATTGAAGTTATGGCCATCAATGAAAAGAATTACTGTAGATTCCTAAATATACGCGAGGAATTATCGCGTAATTACGCGAGAAGCACCACTCGCGAAATAAAATTACTCGCTTTTATTTTTATAGTGCTTTAATGTATGTAAAATCTCTAGATAAATCAACGATTCGCGAATTTTTGTTCTCGCGATTTGACGCCCTTGGGCCATTTCGCGATATTAAGTACTCGCGTAAAATAAGGAATCTACAGTATCACACCAGCGAAAACTTAAAAAAACTATACATATATTATTCCAGGGTACTGAACAAGAATCAACTCTGCCGACGCTATAAATGGAATATATAAGGATATCATCATAAATAAGGTAAGCGATTGTTGAATATATTTAAGTACAAAATCTTTACCTTGTATGGAAAAAGAAACAAAAGACGCCAAAAAAGCAAAAATGAGGAATCTAGACGACATCTCATCTAAAAACTAAGTATAAACTTTTATGCATCGCACTATATAGTAATTTTTACAAATATAATTTATGCATCGTTAGATTCATCTTTATAAAGATGATGCCATGGCGATGTTTGCTTTCTACATGCTGAGAGCCACGTACTGAACTAAAATGTATCAAAGAATTGATTTAATCTAAATATGTCTTATAAATCCATGTAGAAGATATTAAGCAAACCTTAGTCGATAATCCAGTGTGCGAAAAGTAATCTATAAATTATTTAGAAGTGCACTTAATGTAATACTGATATTTTTTAAGTGCCCCTATAGATAATCTGTGAAAGGAAAATAAAACAGTTTTATAAAACAGGAAGTTTGTATAAATGTTTACAATTAAAAGATGCGTCACCTTTTATACATGGAATAATAATTCAGAGAGTATGAAGGCTTTTGCGTACACAGTTATTTGAATTTTCAGAAAAATAAAGTTTTCAGAGTTCTTGCAGTAGGGTCTCAAAAATAAATAATTGTTTTCTTTAATTAATTGCATTTGAATTCATGATTTAAAATTTCTCGCAATTGAACACATTTACAAAACCGAAATACATAAACAAGTAACCTTAAGATCACAAAAAAGCCTTTGAAATAATGAAAAAAAAAATCATAGCTATTGACGTTCTTCTAAGATACTCTTTTTAATTGTGATTTAGAAATTATGTAAAAAGGAACTTAGATAACATAGCGCAAATGTAATTTGAACTGTCGTATCGAGAGTAGTGTTACAGTAATACGTGTAGAAAGAGACGGGATAAGATGGCCACTTTAATTCTGAGATTCACTCTCCTCTATTTTACTCTAAAAACTACTTTAGAAACTGTAAACCAACTTTAATTCGCAATATATGCCTGAGTTTTGCGACTTTCTTCTTCGGGCAAACATAAAAAATTCAATGTGAAAATAATGCTCTAGATTGTTTTGCTGACAGGGTCATTGTATCGACCATAGAATTTGCGAAATGTTGACTTTAAACGAGACTGCTGTATCATCAATTTATTTGTCAATAGTTTGCATCGTTTTAGAAATTGTTCTAACGTTTCAATATTATATTGACATAAAATTGAGAGATAAAAAGTAAAATATTCAAGTACATTCTAAAGAGTTAAAAACAATGTTTTATTGAAATATAACACATCCAATTCATGAACATTTCCAAGAATAAAAACGATACAAGAACCAATATGGTCCAACTCGAGAAAACTAAAGTCAGCAGGATCCGCACAGCAGAAATAAACCTGACTGAATGCTTTCCAAATACATACTGTATATAGATGTGTACAGTGTTTTTTTCGTTCCGTCTGATGTCGTGTTAAATGTGTTGTAAAAAAAAAGATAGAAAATGCTTTTGCTGAACGAAAAGGATATACGCCGGTCTTACAAGCATCCATATCGTCCATAAAGTCACTTGTCTGTGCACTCTCTTATCCATTGATATTTCTCAAGAAAAATCTCGTTGCATTACAACACTTGTGGACTGTGTCCTATGAGAAAGGACTGGGAAGATCGTCAGTTATTTTAGTGTCTGTCACAATCCTCTAACAGGTTTTTATTCAACATACACCTTTATGCCTGATCCTGATTTTATTCAGTCCGCCTCTTCTGGAAAATAAAATAATGGAATAAAATAGTATAATTCTGATTAGTATGTAATAAATAAATTTCGTTGAAAAAAAAAGAACAACAAAACTTGTCTTTTAAAACGGTAAATCTCAGATGTGTTTATCTACTTTTTTTTTTTTTTAAATTTTGACACAAGAAGTAGCACAGATTAGATAAAAATGGCCAAAACTGAAGAATTTTTTTTTCTGAAAGAGTTCTTTTCCAACTGAAGAATAAGGTTACTTCGCTTCCGAAGAGAGAAAATCTTGCTAACATATAATAAAATAATAAGATCAATAATGATTTGTCGTATACTATTTACCATTGCCCAGAAAACTCAACCACATTTGTAACCTCTCTGCATTTATTGCAATGCCAATTTTTACACAGTCGATTAAGTTTGGAAAAAATTCAGACAAAGAATTTTGACAAATCTTGTAATCAATAAATTCATCAATCAGTGAAACTAATGTAAGCTAGTCATTTGTTTTAGATTCGATTAGTGGTCATCTGTCTAACCGTGTCGATGATCGAAAGTCAACGATAAAGAAAAAAGTTTGAGCAATTTTTAAAAAGGTCCCCACTTTCTGCTTACTACACATATGGCCCGTATACCAAGAAAACGTAACATTTTCTTTAAAAACATTTACATGTAATTTCGATAAGTTTATACTTGAACACCGAAAAAAACCCCAAAAAAACTTTACAATAGATATGGAATTTTAACAAACACGCTTTTAAACTGACATTACACTAAATTGTTACTTGCAGCTTGAAAGATAAGATCCTGTGGAGCGTCGACCTTGTACTAATAATTACCGATTTGGAGCGTCGAGCAGGTACTGTAAACCAACTATTATTCGCGACATCTTTTATTCGCAAATTTTTCAGTTTGGAGTCCATCCGCGACTACTAATTTTCGCGACTGAGGCAACATTCTACATAAATGCAAAGGTAAATAATTGGTTCGCGACGAGAAATATTCGCGAGTGAAAGAAGATTGCGAAACTCGTGGATATTTCTCGCTCGTGAATAAAAGTTGGCTTACAGTACTTACCGTTTTGAACAGCTTTACTTTTCTAAATGTTTCTTGCATATACATGTATCTTAATTTAAATTGTCCAAACTTCAAGTACATAACACTTACCATTATACAAGAAAAAAAAGGTATTGGCGAGTAACTAGGATAATATGATTATTTACGAATTTTACTGATAGACATTGAAACTTTTATTTTTGGAATGATTAAGTTATAATGAAGAGAGTGAGTTTGAGGGAAAAAAATTGTGTAAAAAATATACTACTGACAAGAATGATCTTAAAGTGACTTACACACAAGCGACTGTTTTAAGCACGCATTTATTCCTGTAGGACATTCCATCAGTTCCACACACTGGTCGGAGATTAGAGGGACATTTCTGGCGTTTACTACATCCTTGTCTCTCATTCTGTCCAACATTCACAGGATTTTGCAGGTGCATATTATGTCGTCGCACTGTTTTATGGTCTATTGAGATTTTTCTGTTTGATAATTCCTGTATATAAGAATACTGTTTTGGCACTAAACGATGTACAACAGAAGATTTTACAACTGGTTTTATTCTCGTGGATTTATGGACTATTTTATTTTTGATCTTATTGGCGTCTATTTGTTTCTGTTCACTGCTATAAATTGGCCTGGTTTTTGTTGGTATTCTTGTCATGACCTTAGATACAGAATTTACTTCTTTTAACACCGGAACTTGATGACGTTGTTGATTTTTAGGGAAGCGGTATTTTGGAGGATACCTCTTAACCGGTCTGTTTAACCTAACCTTAGCACCTCCCTTTGACGTAACCATTTTCACTAGGGTAGGTTTCCTTGGTGCGGATGTGGTGACGTCTTCCGCCTCTACTTCCTGAGGCTGTGTAGTTGTCTTTTGTTTGCTCTGTCCTATAGAAGGTATAGTTGTCCGATCCTCCAGTTCTACTTCTTCTGTGACAGTTCTTTCCGTAGTTGTTGTTACTTTAATATTTACGGCCAATGTTTTAGGTTTTGATGTTGTAATATCCTCGGCCTCTATTTCCGCTAGCTTGTCTGTTGAAGTTACTGTGGCGACTGTCGTAATATCTTCTGCCTCGATCTCATTACCTGCCGCTGAACGTCTGGTTGCTCCAGAAACGGTCGTCATTTCTTCTCCTTCGTATTCTGGTTCTTCGGTAGAACTTAAAAAACTACGTTTCTTTTTGGTAGGATAATCGTAAAATGGTGTTGGGTTCACCGTAGCTCCATAGAATTCAGGGTAGAAGTAATAGTATAGATCATGCTCTGCATATTGATATTCTTGTGTTGGTTTTATTGTAGTATAGTCACTGTAATATGCATCGAAACTCAAAGGATAAGCCGTCTTCAGATTAGGATGTAAAACCCCGTCTTTTGGTGGTTGTTCCTGCTGTGCATGAATGTCGTTTGTCTTTTTCGCCCATTTTGATGAAATCCTTGAGTCCTGTTTTGGTTGACTTTTCTGGTTATTCTGCGGTTTCGTGGTTTTCTTTCTTAGTTGCTGAGCTACATTTCCACTTGACGCAGCAGAGTTTGGCTTCGCTGAATTGTATGAATGTTGTTTCTGTGTAGTTTCATTTGAATTCCAAGGTGATATCTTCCCGGTATTGTATTTTGGATTTATAATGTCGTTCCATGAAATTTTTGATTTATTCTTCAGAGGCGTCCCATCACCTTGAAAGATATCATATATGTCAATATCAAAACTCATTTTTAAGATATAAATATAGGTATTTCGTAATTTTATTTAGCAAAATTGATCATTGAAGTATTTTGGTCATCTGGCTTAAAATAAAAATTGAAAAAAGTACGTAAAAATGGAATATTTATATAATATATATAATAAAGAAAATTTAAAAATAAGTTTAAAAAACTTACACTTTTGATAATCCAAATATATCAATACAATAAAGGTAAGTGAATAAGTCACGACCGCTTTCTTCATTGTATTGAAACGAAAATCGTCTAATAAGCAAGTATACACTTTTCTTATTAAGTTAACACTTGTTGTTGAACAAGCGACTGATAATTCACCTCTCAGGACAAATAATTCTCATCATTAATCACCTTCTCTGACCGGAATCACGTCATCAACAAAGACACACAAACGAGGAAAAACAATACATAATTAAGGGTTATGGGCTGTGTAATAGTCCTATAGGCCACCTTGACACGATCGAGTTGGTTTTTGTCTCATGCTCCGACTTTTAGGACATTGTTTATCCATCAATTAATTTGAAGTCGGAGACACTGAGGACGAGGGACATAGATAACATAATAATAAATTACAGTGTAAGAGTGATCCATGTTTAAAGGAATCAAATATATCTAATGAGATATGATATGTCTAATTTATTTTCTGTTAAATCACTCAAGTGTAATATCCTTAACATCGGAAACATTAACTATATTGCATTCTTTTTTGTCACTTTAGTATCGGCTGTTTGTATGGTTATTCAAGGTCTATCGATAATAAATATTCATGAAATATTTGTCTGCCAACATGCTTTTGTGATGCATTCGTAAATGTTTTTTGTCGAATGCAATGAAAATTTGCTAGGAGACGTTTAATTTTAATATATATCAACAAATTTAATACTAGTAACTTCAATCAATTGCTAAAAAATTGCAAAATTACTGACTGTATGACTTTAACCTCTGAAAATTGATTTGAAAGGACTTAGCAATAAAATGTTTTCAAGCTCAGATCTAAACGATGAGTCGATCATATCTGTCAAAGGATTACATCAAAACATCGAGTGATTCATGTCAGATATATTTTTTTTATATAGTCTGAGGATGAAGAAAGTATAGGTATTAAATCAAGTCATGGAGTTTCTCATCTGAGAACATCTTTTTTTTCTTTCTTTTTTTTTTTTTTCGATTTTATGGTGAAAAAAAAATAGTAACATCATTTATGATCTTTTGAATTTAAAATAATCTGAAGGATTAATGAACATTTTAAATACTGCATTTTTAAAGATGTTTTGGAGGTCAAACGACTTTGAGACAGGTGAAATTCATCATCTGGCAAAAAGATAATTTTCAGTAGGCCTAAATTAGCAAGAGTTATTTCCCGTTGGCCGCCATATTGGAGGTCAACATGCTCATATTCCTTCATTATTCAACCAACTTTAACTTTTATACTCGCCATTGTGGGGTAGGAAGCATTGTTTTTCTGAAAAATATACATTTGTTAAAGCCTTCTTTATTTCATAATTTTTATTCTATAAAGATTTTTCCTCAAATATTTTTGCTACATCCTCGTAGATTTGGTAAGACAAAGAGGAAAAATCACAGGTTGACCATCAAGATGGCGGCCAAGGGAAATAACTCGGAGAGAAAATACGTCATATGAAAACTATCTATATACAATAAGGAATATAAATACCATTTCGTGATTACGAGAAAAATAAAATAATATCTTGTGTAGTGTGAAAAGCTATCCCGACTTTACTTAGCCTTAAAGACAGTTAAATCAGTTTCCATTCTTTAAAATAAAACCCTATCCTCGAGAATGAGGAATAAATTCATGATAATACGATGGGAAAATCTTGAACAACATAAGATTATTGCAAATAATGGATCTTGACCACATCTATACGAGGGGCTAAGGAGAAGAAGGAACGAAACGACTCTCTCCTCTTACTCATCCATAGAAGGGATGAAAAATCCAGTGGAGATTGCTTACTTCCTTTTACAGATGGACCCCTCGAGTTACTTCCTTGTACAGATAGACCCCTCGTTTTATACAATACTTATGTATTACTTATGTTCAAATGAAAACATCAATTCATTTTACCAAACAAAATGTAATAGGTTTACCCTTAACTTAGCAATATAACGATATCTAACTTAACACGCAAGTAGATATAAGTTACTAAGAAATAAGGATGATATGAACGTGACATTATTGTGATAATCACGATAGAAAAACTTCTAACATAGTATCTCACTCTTTGGCTGGCGTAAATCAAGATCCTTGTGATAGATATATCACTGCAAACACAGAGACAGTATACCTATCCCAAAGTGACAGTGTAAATTCTTTCAGCTCCTTTATTTTCACACCGACTTCAGCTCTCTCAGCTGAGCAGTTGTAGACCTAGGTAAGATCACAGGACGTTTTCAAGAGCAAACTAGGAAATAAGCATCTGAAGATCAGTCTCAAAGGTAAGTTGATCACAACATAAGAAAATACTGGTTCAAAAGAAAACTTTGATAAAAATATCACATATTACAATTCCTGTCTATTTATCAGACGTTTAGGTAGAAATACAAAGGAAGTTTTGAAAATTTTCTCATGAAATTAAAAAACCAGAGGAAAATTATTTATAACCATGCTCATAACCATAAGGTGTATTTGTTTTAAAAAATATATCAATGTATTTCACTGAAGTCCATTTTTTTTATTTGGATGGAAAGAACGTTAATCTAACAAAACTTTGTGATAAACGTGATTACTTCAAATTTTCTGTCGTCAACTTCCTTTATTTATATAGCAATATAACATTATCACCTGCATGCTCTATACGTACGAACAACTTCTAAAACGAGGGAAGCTATTGACAAATAAGTTGATGATACAAGGATACCAACATTTTCGTTTCAAGTCAACATTTTGCAAATGCTATGAAAACGAGATGGGATCAGGTGTCAAGGAGGAGTAAGCATCCCCTGTTAATCGTTCACACCCGCCCTGTGCTCCTTGTCATTATCGGGTAAACAGGAAAATCCGTAGACAATTCAGTGTGGATAAATGGCCTAAAGATTTGTAGGAAAGTCGTCAGTCAACTTAACGACAAATTGTATTTGCAAACAAGGTCATTGTATGTACCATATAACTTGCCTACTGTTGACTTTAAACGATGTCGATGATATCCCTGTATCATAGACTTATTTGTCAATAGATTGACTCTTATAGAAAATGTTCTTAGGTAGAACATAACGATTTCATGTCATGATTTTTTTTTTCTTGAATGTTGAAAATTAGCCAGATTTTCGTTAGAAGAAATCTGATAGAACAATAAGACTTGCCTCCTTGTCTTGTAGATATATTGGAAAATTTCAATTCACAAAAACAAAATTAGAAAGGTTCTTCAGGTAAATGTATTTATTTGTGGAGGTGAGGTCAAGTGGATATATACGGATATATATGGACGTCTTTAACAGAAACATATGTGAAAGGTATTATATGTTGCTTTCACTTACAGCAATAGCAAAAGATGATGCTTTATATATACAAGAAACGTACAGCATATTGAGGTTTTTTGCTTAATACCAATACTTATTTACTTATTTAGAATTGAGGATTTTAATTTTGTGTAATGTTTTATATCAGTGTCTTCAAAAGGGGTGGATGTATATTGTTCTTGCCACCTTTGTCAGTCACCGATATATATATATATATATATATATATATATATATATATATATATATATATATATATATATATATATATATATATATATATATATATATATATATTAATTTTAATGAAATTTTCCTTATGTAACCCATTGGAAATCTAAAATATTCATTATCCTTTAACACGCGCGAAACCTTGTCATTTTGAAGTAGAATATACAGTAAGAACTAGAAATATTTTCAATACTCTAGGAATACCAAAATGTGTACTGTTTAACTTAATTAAATTAAAAACAATTACCCTTTTAAATTATTGTAAAACTATAACAATTGTACGGTTAAAGTTAATTTGTCATTTTTTTTCCTCTCGCTATATTTATTTGCGCTATTTAACTTTCAAACGTCACATCGGCTCTTACGTCAGTTTTAAAGCACAACCAGTTCTGAGAGATTGACGAAATTATCAATTAATAAGAGAGAAATTTGGAGAAAGTAAATATAAGCATTGAATTCTAATTTTTGGACGTCGTCGGTCCTGTAACAGCACCTGTCCTATGGATGGATAGATAGAGATGATAGATAGATAGATAGATTTACTTTTATGTCCAATGATGCGACTGTAATTTTATCAGTTTTATGAGAAACTTTTAATTTGTTATAAAACTTTTGCTTCATATCAATTTTTAAAATGATCAAATGTATTGCAAACTTACTAATATTCGAAACTATGGCTGCAATAATTGGTTTCTTGCCACGAAATATGACACATGTGAGCGTTATGGCTCTTGTGCCTCTTGTTTTGATTGTGCCTTGTGTTAGTCATCTTGCACAGTTGACATACATGCATATAAAATTTGGAGGATGACATATTTCTGACTAATTTCTTTCATAATTACAATAATTCCACTAATCGTGCAATCCATTCATAAAAATATATATATCTATTAATCTAAATATTGCACTCTTATTTTAAAGTCTATTTTATTTATGTAAACTTCTATGAATAAAAACTCCCTTAAGATATATCAGTTGTCTAAAATAGTGCAGAAAGCATGCATTTAATTTTTTTTTTTTTTTACAAACCTCATTAAATCAAGGATTACTTTAATTTGTCGCATACATTATGTACAAGGTGTTTTCTTTATTTTGGGGGAAAAATTGAATATATCATCACTTTAAAGGTGAGTAAATATTGAAATATCTATAAAATATACACGTTTTTACAACTTGCAACGATTAATCCATCCCTCTGGTAAATAACGATCAAGTATGATTAAAATCTTAAAATCTTTGAAATATTTCAAACAGCTAGACTAAAGCATTACCAATGCACTTTTATCTGTCTCACTCATCTTACATGTAGAATAATTGACCTTACTACTAATTTGATAAGATAATTAAAAAAAACCAGTATATCAAGAAAAAACTCCAAAAAAATATTATAATAGAGATAAACGCGCGTTTATGTCTTTATTTGATTGATAGAAAATTTTATATTCTGAATCAGAATCCTAATTTCACATTTGACATAATTAATAACTGCTCAAAAATTGAGATTATGGTCTTTATAGGGACCCTGATATCTTGATATCTCGGAAAGAAAGAGAATGCATAACGCTACCTTTTTAAGAAAATAATAAACTTTTATAAAAAAAAATATAATGAAAAAACTTATGATTTGAAAATGATATACTGCCATATATAAATCGAAAAAAAAGTTCTTTCCTTACAGAAAAGAGCAAATCATAAAAAAGGTAATTGCAATAATATGTTAGCTATAACATACACATAACAGTATATATGATTTAAACAAATTATGAGACTTGAATTATATAAAGATTTTATGAGACTCGTTCATGAGCGATTCAATTTTTTCAAATTAAGTGAATTAAAAAAAAAAAAAAAAAAAAAAAAAAAAAAAAACCTGTAAACAAAAACCTTGATATTATTTGAAACCTTCTCTCAAAGGCTTCATTTGCCCAAGCAATATGGCCGATGGTCTACATTTGCAAAAACAAGAATGAGTTGTCGTTCGTGACAAAGATGGCGTTCATTGATAAGGATGCATGGAACATGGAATCAAACTGGAAATGTGAATTACACAAACGTGACATGGAATGGAATTTTCTTGGAGGTACTAGATAGAAGTTTATCGTAGCCAATGCATCAAATTTTGTACAACAGAATTAACACGTGGAAATTTAAACAGAAGGACAGTCGTGACCTATTTTTTCGTGTAAGTTTTAGCTAAATATTGTGTGTGTTTCATATAGATATAAAACGTGTTTTTGTTATAAAACAAGAGCCTTCAGGCAAATTGTCGCTGTTTTTGTTGTAAAACATTTGCACTTTGCAGTCTTGTAGTTTTATCAAAGCATACTATTCCATTGACCATATTGCGACTTCTTTCATACAATATTTTCAGTTAGTGGATTTTAGAAACGCAATTTCTATTCCAAATTTTCCTCCAAAAACAATTGACTTGTATTTATAAAGAACAGACGATTAAACGAATTTAAGCATTATACTCTTAAGAAAGGTATCTACAAAAGTACAGTCGGATATTTGTAAGTTCACTCCAGATTCAGGTTCGATCCCTTTTCTAAAAGATAGCTTGTTGAAAACATTAAATCATAACAAAATGATATAATGTGAAGTTATATTCTTGAATGCATTTTTCTTATTTTTGAATTTTATAATTACTTTCTGTATAAGATGGTGACTCTAAATACAATACGTTTATATACAATATTCTAAGGGGTCTAGAAGGGCTACCTTTTATTATCTGTTAACTTTTTAAAATATCTTTCAAACAAAACTACAACTTTAAAAATCCAAAAATTTGTAATATTGCTTGTATGACATTTTTTTAAATCTAAATTCCACAATTTTAAGACGTTACGGTAGTTAGTTTGGAAGTTATTACCTTAGATGACAAATATTTTGGTAATTTACATACAATATATACTGTTTCGGAGCTGCAATTGGCACTTATCGAATCCATGTCAATTTCTCCCCGTCTAGCTCATTTGTTTGTTACATCATACCTTGTTACTTGTTATCAGGGATGTTTTTACATACTAAAACATATTTCCGTACAAAGAAAATATTAGACATAAATGTACTACACGCGTTTCTTTTATTTCAATCTTGCATACATTTTTATTAATGTTATGATAAACAGCTGGAATATATATTGAAAAAAAAAAACCGAAAGGTACTTGTAATTTATAGAAACCTCTATTTTTGAAATGGTCTATGGTCCATGTAAAAATAAATATCTTAAATTTATCTTGATTTTGGAACAAAAGATGCTTGCTATTTTTCTAAAACTTTGACATAAACTAAGAATCTGTTTGGTAATAGTTAACTCAACAATTTCTGAGAAAGACAATGACTAGTTGACCAATTTTGTATTAAATTCTACGCTGTAAGCATTAGCTACAGAGCTTTTTATCATGAACTCCATAGAAAAAAATTTAAAGAGTTTTTTTTTTTTTTTTTTTTTTTTTTTTTTTTTTTTTTTTTTAGAATTTTGGAATTATCAAATGTCTTTACTAAAAAGCACAAGAATTAAAGTGAAGAAAGTATATGTTTAAAAATAATTTTAAAAGAGTTCTTAAATGTTTATTAATTACCGAAATACATTGTTGAGTTACAAAAAAATGCTCATTAATGGAACCTTATTTTTTGTTGTTCAGTAGAAGCAATAAAAATGTCTCGACGCATATTATATGAGACAATGTGCCACTGAGGTAAAACGAATTCACCCTAATGCACATATGTAAATGCGAATTTATTACTCTATCTGTAATTAATTTAGGACAAATAATTTTATAAATTTTAATTACATGTGATTTATTTGTCATGATTTTAAGGAATGAAGGTTTCCCATCTCATTAAAATTGGTATTATGAGTTTCCATGCACCATCTAGCATCCATTGTAATTTTCCAATGTAAGAGAGACCTGAAAATTTCGTTAATTTGAAGGAAGGATTTAAGGATTAAACGCTTAATTCGTTGTTTCCAGAATAAGGTAGTTATTGTTAAATTTCTGCACATTTCTACATATCAGTTCAATGAATATCAACCAAAAGATTATAAACTGGTACTATTTTATGATAAATATGTTTCTCTTTTATCAAATTGATAGATGATAAGTAGATACATAGACACTTTCAGATTTAATTGAAATGTATAGAAATTTTTAATTTCAGAAAATGAGCCATGTTCGCCCAGGTTCTCACAGTTTCTGTCCTGATAGCTTCGGTGGTTATTGCTAAGGAATTAGGTTGGATGAAATGGGACAAATTTGATGAGCTGGATTTGCAGTTTCGAAGTATGACAGGAGAAAACTGCAGATCAAAGAGCATCAATGAATTAATCATGCCTGAAAATGTTGTAACTCAAATTCCAAAATATAACGATTTACGCACCAAAGTGTTCTACAAAAACCGGACAAACCTCATACATCTGCATAATATGGCCCTAAACAGAGCTTATTTTTTTAGTTACATTTTCCAAAGAATGAACACCTCTGAAACTTTTAGAACGTTGCCAGATTTGCATTACATACACCTGTCAGTTGCTGCCGACCTCAATGCAAATCCAACTGTAATCAATGGAAGTGCTCTGTATTTCGATATCGATTGTTATTATCCCAATTGGCTGACCAACTACGATATAAATCGTACCCTTCCATTGTTTGCACCTCGAGCATGGCGATGGGATGATACTTTCGACATGGACAATCACCTGAGAGAACCAACTCTGGACACACTTTTCGTATTAGATGCTGGCAGTGGTTTTAATAAGAATTATACGAAAAAGGGATTCCGAATGAACCCCTGGTATGATTTCTGGCTACCTGACACACAACCCATTTATGATTCAACATACAAATTTACTTGGAGTGTAAATCTGAAGTTTTCCAATAGTACTGGTGTCTTTACACAAAACACATTTGAAGGATTTAACTTCTTTGGGCCAAATAACCCTGGAACTAATGATCCGATAGAAAAGCAACCCGTTCGTTTTACCAGACCGTATTTTGATTGTGGACGATCTAACAAATGGGTGGTATCTGCAGTGTCTCCAATAGCAGACTTTATGCCTCGATACAGCAATTGGACTCACCTCAGACGACCAAGGTACCAAAATTTCCTGATATTTAAAATGAACAAAACAATGACACCTTACAAAATATTATATAATGTATGTGTAAATATTGCTCACTCAAAGATCTGGAAGCTCAACTGAGATTTTCTGGTAAGGTTTGCCGTCTGTTGTTCATTTTAAATTCATGTTTGATAAGAACTTAAAGTGGGATGGTCCTTATCATCACTATTATTTGGTATAAAAGTGTATCGATTGTGAGAATTAAAATATTTTACTCAAATCTCATGGAAAAAGGAGAATTGATTTAATTAAAATACAGATTGGCAATATCATAGTCTGTAACTGAGAATAAAAGGAAATAATGGATGGGCATAAGGATACCACTGGTCATTGCAATTGATTCAGTAATGAATACGGTTAATACATTTTGCACAACACGAAAGCGTCGTCGCCTTATAAGCTTCGCCTATTCGGCGAAATTGTGTCAACATGGATAATCGATGTCTTTTAATTATAAATATTCATGACATCTTTGTTTTCCATTAACATATTGAGTAAAGCATGTGTTCGACATACGTGTCGAAAGTAACCATTTTCTTGATAAAACTGAAAAATAATTTTATTCCAACATTTCGCTGATGAAATTGCGGACCATGTCACTTTAAAGAAATGAGAAATACAGAATGCGACAAGTTTATTTAGTAAAAGCACGATTCCCTGGCTTGTTTAGGCCTAATTGATAAGGGATCACAGAGGTGACTACGTGTTGATAATTAACATAATCATATATCTAAACGTTTTCAGACCATTAAAACAAGATAATGCCCTAGCAATGCACATATGTTATTTATGTACCTCAATAAAATAGGTTGATAATGTTGTTATATACTTATCCACGTATTTGGCGTCCTAAGTATGTTCATAGATCCTTTCTTGTTGTGATGTTAGAGAAAGTTAATTCAGGTGAGTGGTGTGCTTCATATTTTTTTTTTAAATTTCTTGCAGATTCATTGGTGCTGTGGTGATGGACACAGATTTTGAGAAAATAGATTTTAATCCTTGTGGAATAAGTGTCGGCAATCCAGGACCAAGTTATCTGGCAGGAATTCACAAATGCAAGGCGCACTCAGGGGTACTGATACATCTCTTCACAGAAATCTATTAGTAATCTGGAAATGATATATTAAAGGACGTATTTAATTTAATATAACAATGATCAATTGATGATAACTACAATTGTCTCTAATCATTCTACCCTAAGATTCACTTTCCTCACAATATATATTATATCAGTATTGCACAACATGTAAGATATAGTATTATTTGAGTAAGGATAAAACCAAACGGCACCAATGAGTGAATAAGACAGTAGCTAAAAGAAATATGAAGATAACGAACAGTAATCAAGCACAACAGTCCTCTGGAACAACAATTGGGAACAAGTTAACACGGACCAAGAAAATTATCAGAGGTGGGATCAGGTGCCATGGAAAAGTAAGCATCCCCTGTCGATCGGTCGCACCAGCCGTGTGTTCCTTGTCACAATCGGGCAAACAAAAAAATCCCTAGACAATTTATTGCATAAATAATGGTTTAACTAGTTGTATGAAAAGCATAGTCAACATTCGAATTCACAATGGATTGTATTTGCTAACAAAGTTATTGTATCGACCATAGAATCTGCGAAATGTTAACTTTAAATGAGATTATTGATATCCTTGTCAATTTATTTGTCAATATTCTGCTTCGTTTTAGGAATTGTTACTTCAACGTGCTCTTGTGCATCGAATCAACTTGGAGTTATAAACTCCATATGCAAGTGATAATGGTATATTACTACATAAACAGGGGAAGTTGAAAATAGAAAAGTTGAAGTCAGTACGTTATCATAAATTTGGTTGTAAGGTTTCTATTAATATCTTTTTTCTGGTAAATATAGTGTAGTACACTGAATTATTACAACAAGGTGCTAGCTATGACAAACTAAACATATTCGTAGATAGAAAAAAAAAAATAAAAACAACAATTAACGATTAATACACACAATTGCTTTTACTGTAAATAGTTGACATCCTTTTATTATTGTGTTATATGACAGCTCTTTCGCAGCAAAATTCATTTTTTTTTTAAAATGTCAGAATAAGGACCTTTAACAAATAGATGACCATAATAATGTTATATTGGGAACTGATAAACAAAGTTTACAATACAGGAGTTGCCCACTCGTCTCTAAAGTCCACCATTACAGCGTTGGTGTAAATAATATAGTTTCTAGTGAATTTTATTGTCACCACACCCTTGCTCGTCTTTGCAGTACTTCATCATTGCACGTTGCAGAAAATGAAATTAAAACAGACCAAAGGACGTGCCATAAGAAAAAAAATATTTAGAGACTAAATGTCTCAATTTATCTTGCAATGCATTATCTTGGCATTTTGTATATGTAAAAGAAATCATTTCGCGCATAACAATTAGAAACTCTTTTGGTAAACTAAAAGATATTTCACTCTTCAGCTGTTATTCAGAATTAAGGTATTCAATGTATAATGAAGGGATATTGAACAATTTTGATACATTTAAACTAGTTAAATATATATTGCTAGGTAATGATGAAAGTGAAATAAACTAAATTCACATGACTGATAACATATAAGAAGCCGGCCATTTTGCACCTTAAACGTTTTTGAAGAGTTATCTACCCTCGATGAAAACAAGAAAATTTTAAATTTGTCAAAATATCTGTGGTAAATGATTCATTTTATTTCATATTTCAATAAAGAGAGAGTTTATGCGTATTTTCACCAAGTGATTTGTATGAAGTTCAAATTACTTTTTACAATATCTTAGTAAAACAGGCACTGCCCATAGGCTTCAAGGTAAAAATCTAGGTGCAATTAATTGGACAATAATCAATTTTTTTAAAATTCCTTTGGTGGAGTATTTTTATTTGATAACATCTTCAAAATGCTACAATGATTAAAAATGTCCGACCATTCATTTATTAGGTACAAAATATGGTCGTAATACATTGAAAACCTTAAATCACTTTATTTTTTTCTTTAATTAATTTTTCTCTCTCCCCTTTTAAATAACTAAATATAAGTTGAAATAGATGATTTTTGGTGCAGATAACCCTCCTTTTAAGGTTATATAGTTAGATATAAATGTCATTTTTAAAAAAAAAAAAAACTCAAATGTATATGCTGACTCTAACATGTACACCAATACGGACCTAAATGTAAAGATGAGTAAATGTTCCTACACTGCATGTTTCAAGCAAAAAGATAAAATCCAAACTCCTTTCAGTGTCGTATATCTATAAGGATTTCAAGACGAATATTGTATTTAAGTATTTATTGTTTTCTTAAAATATAATGTTCTTGATGTGTAATGGAGAACATGGCTACTGTAAAATCACATATTTCCGTGGTGGTAGGGGGGACTAAATTTTTTCGTGGGGATTTGATTTCGGCGATGAAGAATTGTTGACTAGTTATGTACATGTTTATGGCATTTTTCATTTCGTGGTGGACATGGATTTGTGGGTTTCTCTATACCTCGAAAACGACGAAAATTCAACACCCTTGATTTTAGTGATTTCGCAGTATTTGTTTTAATTTGGCGAATTGTCTATTCTTTTAACTTTTCTGCTTCCTTATAACTTCCTGAAACAATTAAAACCAATAATGTACACGGACAATCCTTAAATATTTCAGAATTAACCCTTTTTTCTTTCCATGGTAATGGCAGCCAATTTGGAAACTTTAAAGTCCAGAAATTTGAGGAACACAATACCATTCACTTTGAAATACCTTTAAAGGGGAAAAAAGTTCGTCTAACCAATTCATTTTTTGCAGAAATCAGTTTGACTTGAGGCATTGTATTAATGCTTTTTATTTTGAAAAAAATAAATAAATAAATAAAAGAGAGTGAAAAAAATTAAATTCACAATGTTCATATTCACATATGATCGAACATAACATAACCCCCTTATTGCATATTTAAGGTGAATTAGGGTCAGAAAACGAGGTACATAATCAAAATTCTTCACATTGACAAAATTTCGAATCGGAATTCATAGATCCTGAGATATATTATTATCTATGTATCCTTGATAAATGATTTTATAACAGGTTTTTAAAAACACCTGTCTGTTTAGAAAAAAAAATTAAGTGAGTAATAAACCTGATTTATAGAACTCCAGATATTAAAAAAAAAGCTTTTTGATTTATTTTGATGGTTCAGAATAACATAAATGAAAACGGCTTATAAATGAAGAAGCCAAATTAAAATGATATTATCTGATGTACATTTTATTTTTGTAATCAATCATGGGTACATTATGCACAAGGCTTCTGTATAAAATTATTTAGCTGTATCTATCATTTCAGTGCAAGCACCGTGGTGGTTTTGGTTTTCGAAGAGGGAGTTATAGATGTAAATGTCGAGCAGGTTACAGGTATTCAAACGAATTAGAAAAGCCTTATATGGGTTCTGATATAGAAGAGTCTACATGGACAGAGTACCAACAAGGCTTCAATTGTACTCCTATTGATCGTAAGTAATAACAGGAGTTTGGAAATAGTATAAACAGAAAATTTCATACTCATCTGAATATGATTATAATTATAATAAAATATCGACAAAAGGCTGATTATTTATAAATTGGAGTAAAACCTGTTAAGTAATCGATTTGATTTTTTAATGATTGTTCAAATAAAGTAATGAGAATGAAATAAGATCTTTAATAAATTTAATAAAATTAAGTAACAATAAGATGCTTATCGATACTTAAGCGAAAAGATTACTTCAGAAAAATAGGGTTTCAGAAAAATATTTCAAAAGTTATCATCATTTTAGATATTTCATTGAATTCTCATTAGGAGTACGTAATAAACTAGAGCAATGTCGGAACTGATGACAATTTAGATTGCATACCTAAATAAAAAAGTTACACCTGACATACACGAAAATTACTGATTACATCCCACACAATGTTATGGTCTTGTACATTAAAGGTGCTTAGACACAGATTTGAAGTTAATATCTTCTCAAATTTTCTGTATAATATCACGACTTATATATTGCAATAGCATTTCACACGAAAATATAATTAAAAACTTATTTTATCTAGAAATTATTGGAACTACGAATTCCTAGACGCGTTTGATTAACACATCATTGCACTTTCACAAATTTTATCTTTATCCTAAATATTTAAGAAAAGAAGCGATTTTGTTGTGTATTAATGAAAAATATTACATCTATAATTAAGAAAATTCAGAGTAGAAATGTGCGAAAGCAATCCCTCTCACTAATATCGTCAGCTCGTGCTCAGTGTTGTGTACAGAGTTTAACAAATTGAATACACCCGTGAAACGTAAACTGTTTTTGTAAACAGGGCACGAGCTCTGTCATTGTTCATGTTTACGATTCACTGGGTGTGTTCAATTGTTAAAATCTGCACACACCACTGAGCACGGACTGACAATACTGTGAGTGGGTTTTGCTTTCGAACATTTTACTCTGAATTTTCTGGATTATAGTTTTAATATTTTTCATTAATACACAACAAAATTGCCACTTTTCTTAAGTATTAAGAATAAAATTAAAATTTGTGAAAGTGCAAGGATGTATGTCAATCAAACGCGTCCAGAAATTTGAAGTTTCAATAACTTCGAGATGAAATAAGATTTTTATTTTATTTTAGTATGAAATGCTATAGCCACATATAAGTCATGAAATTATATAGAAAATTTGAGAAAATATTACCTTCAAATCTGTGTCCAAGCACCTTTAAAGGCATCTGTGTAAAAAGAAAAAAATCTGTAGGAATATAATAATGGATCAAATCAATGAATACAAATGGCTGAGATATGACTTTTATAGAAACAAACTACTATAACAACCCCTGGTCACACACAATTTTGTCCAGAAGAATTACAAATGTTATGTATTTGGAAATCTGAATTTTAAACGAATTTCAAAATGGACTTCGCTTTAATATTTGTATCTGCAAAATGTAAAATAACCAATAAATAATGATAAAAAAAAATCGAATAGTTAATGTAAAATTTAAGAGCATCTTGGGTTATGTAACACTATTTTTCCACACAAAATTCATTTATAGAATTTGAAAATTGTAATCTAAGATGCTATAGTATTCTGAGCTTGATCACTGTTATCTTCACATTTTTCATTTACACATTTAAGCCTCGAATCATAAACATTTGTTTATCTTTATAAAAAAAAAACAGAAGCAGGTCTTATTGTCAAGAAAATACATTTTTATCTTTTGCATTCTTGACAGATCTAAACGTTTTACCGGCTATTGATGCAATAGATAGTGTTTCTATTGAATTTTTCAACGAGGAATACAATACTGGTGCCATTAAATCAAGATCATTGAAATCCATAACTATTCCAAAATCAACACAACTCAAAACAAGAAGCAGCAGAAAACGTAATAAGAGGTCGCATAAAGACAGACCTCTATTTGATCCATTAGCTTATGAGAGGGTTATAAAAATATACCGTCAGAAATCCATGGTGACAGGGTCAAACTGTCAAAGCCTACCCCCTTCTACTTTGATTTTACCCGGTGACGTAGGCTATGGAGTAGATACACAATTTAAATACCAGGCCAACACGGCCCTCCGACTGAGCCATTTCCTGTCTGCTTATCTTCAGACCATGGAGGATATGGATTCTTTCGGGCATATTCGAGGAGGATCTCGTCTTCATGCTGAACACTTGTTCGGAGAAGTTTTGGCTAATGTAATGGCCGATTACAAAATATTATCGAGTGGTATATTTTACGAACCCTATAGTTTCCGAAGTCCCAATGAATCATTTCGTGAATTCTTTGGTCCGTATGCATACAGACACAAGAATGAATTTTATGCTATTGATACCGCTGGACTAAATACTCGTTATACATCAGAGCTATGGTACAGAGAAATGAAGTTCCGGTGGAATACCAACACAGATCATCTACAAACTTTCAATATCCGCTCTATGGTGCGTTCAGATATTAACGGCTCCAGTTCTGTGCGGCACGAACATTTTCCCCTGACCTACAAAGCTCCTACAGTGGATCAGGGTCTTTGGATGCCGCCCAAGTTTAAATGTGACGGTAAAATAGACTCTTGGGTTATGACGTATGTTGTACCATTTTTTCGCCGTATAAAACTGTCAGGAAAAGTGCAGTTTTCGTAAGTAGAAATTGTAAATACATCTGTACATAGAAAAAAAAAATATTAGCGTAAACGCAGGCTGGAATATATACACAACAAATGATTACTGCTAAAGCACTTTCTCTTTGAAATATTTTCTTATACTAAGTGTTCAACTGATTGAGCAGTGATATGTGTAATTTTGTTTTGATTGATAGTTAGGCATAATTTGATGACTGTCTTATAGGGGAGTGGTGACTGTTGATGTTCCGCTAGACTTGTTGGAGATAAATCCATGTCCGCAGCCTTTTTATGTCAACAATGCATTCAAAAACACAGCTAGGTGTCACACACAGTCTACAACTGTAAGTGATTAAAGCATTTCAACTAAGTATCTAATATCCTCTTAATTATCAATTCATTTAATATTTTAGAAGAATTTTAAAATATGGTAATAGTTCATAACACTTCACATGTTTCATATTTAAAAACAGAACGAGTGACATACATTTACAGTGGCTAAAAGTTCAATTGATTTTCTTTGATTAAAGTTTTAGTCTCTTCCTAATGCTCCTCGAGTTTTTCCCGTGTGTGAAAACCCTCTACAAGGGAGACATCATGGCGGGGCGGGGCAATTATTTGGGAAAAAAAGCGATTTATGTGGACCGGTCAATAGTTTTTGTCCTAATACCTTTTACATATCATAATCCCTCTATAGGAAAAGCGCTATTAATGGGATTTTCCTCTGTGTTCATAAGTAAAGTATCTTGCGAAGATTATGAACATTTGTTATTTCAGTAATTAGTCAGAAAAACAATCGTTCATTCTCACTGTCATTCACCAATATATATATATATATATATATATATATATATATATATATATATATATATATATATATATATATATATATATATATATATATATATATATTACATAATTGAAATTTCTAAAACCGCAATCTATTACTTTTTATAGTGCCGCCGGAAACGAGGGTTCCGTTTCTCTCGCACGGCATATGCTTGTGACTGTAAACAGGGATACGAGTATCAGTTTAAGGACAAAAAACGATGGATAGCAGGTGCCCTGATTGAGCTTGAGTATCAGAAAAAAATCAGAGGATTAATTAGCAGGTTTGTAATTCTAGATATATTTATAGATAGATGTATTGAAGAATTCACTGACGATTTTTTGTGTCAGGAGTATGTGAGCTTAAGCCCTGTGCTTAATTGTATTGACGAACTCACATAAGCTTTATTCTGATATATACCGGTCTGTAGAGATATTGTATAAGTACATTTTTTCTTATTACTTTCTATTTTAGATACGATTCCCTGAGATGCAGGATATCATCTAGTCCAAAATTATCCTATGATTCTGTTATCTTGGTGACTTGTTTATTTTTTTTTCTTTTTTTAATTTAATATATGTATAATATTACTAAATACTCATATTAATTTGTGCTATTTGTTTCCCTTTTTTGAATTCTAAGAATTTAACTAATAAATGCAATAATTCATTGCTTATTTATACATTCCTCATTAATTTACCCTGTTTAATGACATTATCATAAAACTATTATTAATCATCCCCGCATTTATTATCTTTTATTTATTTCCTTTTTTTTATTCTAATAATAAAATTCTTATCAGCTGAGTTCATTTTTGTTCATACTAGCCTTATCCTTGAGAATTTGGGTAAACTGTTTTTAGAAGAGAAAAGACTCTGGAATTAATGGATGTGTTTGTGAATGAGACGATAACATGTAATAACGGTATGTGTGTTTAGAAGAAAGGGGACAAAAGTCCTCCATACTTTTACTTTCCGCTTTGGGAGTTTGACAGTTGTAGTTTTAAGTCCTTTGCAAGATTATTTCACTTATATGAGACGTCACCGTATGCTGGTGAAAGGCTTCAAATTTAGACCTTTATTCAGCATTCAGGGCCATTGAGCAGTGAGGGATCTTTATCGTGCTAATGCCTGACACGGTACCTCAGTTTTTATGGTTTCATCCGAAGGACACAAAGCTTTCATTTTAAAGTACCAAGCGCTTGGGGAAGGAACAGATGCTGTTTATGTTAAAACGGTTCTGGTTTGTCATGTAATCGCTATCATATCATTATAAAAAAATATGTTACTTTCTTACATACTAAACTTTGCATCAGATTCAAGATTACTTTAGATATGAAAGCAATTGTTTTGCAAGACTATGATAATATTTTTTTTCTTTAGTTAGTGAAACATGATATGTTTTTCTTGTTGAAAAATATACTTGTTTTTTGCTTACATGATTCAATGGTCGACATTGACATGCCACTCAAATTTGCGAAAGTGAGTATATACTGACATATTAGAAAAGTTTGCACAAATAGAGATAAGGTTTTATGTATACTGGATACTTAAAAATTCCAAGGAACTTTTGGAAAATTTGAAATCGCAAGATTTTACCAAAATTAACAGCTTAAAAACTTACGACTTTTCAACTTTATACAGAACCATTCCCCACGATAAATCCAGGCTTTTTGATATAATTGACAGCTGCTTTTTCAATGAAAATGGAACTCGTAAATTTATTTACCTTGTCATTGGTCATTTGCAAAATTATTTTGTTGAAAAACATTCTGATTGTACACACAAGTACTCTGAATTTGACATTAAAAAGATGCTTGAATTTCTGATTGACAATATCTATGTGGTTTCTGGAGACCAGGTCTTCCAACAATCTATTGGAATTCCCATGGATACCAATTGCGCCCCGTTATTAGCAGACCTTTTTTGGTATTCATTTGAAGCAGAATTTGTCCAAAATCTTATATGTGATAAGAAGAAACCACTTGCTGTGGCCTTCAACTCGACATTTAGATATATAGACGACGTATTGTCAATTAACAATTGTTATTTCCATTCTTATGTCGATACAATATATCCCGGTGAGCTTGAGGTAAAAGATACTTCAAAGTCTGACACATCTGTTTCATATTTGGATATTTTACTTGAAAAAGACGTTAATGGTAATCTAACAACCAAGCTTTATGATAAACGTGATGACTTTAACTTTTCAATCGTCAACTTCCCTTACTTATGCAGCAATGTACCTTCATCACCTGCATACGGGGATTGTATCTCTCAGTTGATTCGATACGCAAGAGCATGCTCTACGTAATGCACAATTTCTAAAACGAGGTAAATTATTGACAAACAAGTTGATAAAACAAGAATATCAGCAGTCTCGTTTAAAGTCATCATTTCGTAAGTTCTATGGTCGATACAATGACCTGGTCAGCAAATACAATTTATGATTGAGTCAAATGCTGACTGACGTTTTTTATACTAATTGTTAGGCCATTATTTACACACTGAATTGTCGACGGATTTTTTTCGTTATTTCCATCATGACAAGGAGCACACGGCGGGTGTGACCGGTCGGCAGGGGATGCTCACTCCTCCATGGCACCTGATCCCACCTCTGATGTTTTGGAGGTCCGTGTTTGCTCTGCACCTATTTTGTAATGTATAATGGACTTTTGAGCTTGAATATTGTTCGTTATCTCCATATATTTCATGTATAAAAATATGAAAGTTAAATAAGAATAGATACTGACGATTCCATATTGTTCTATTCATCAACATAATGTTTGGAACGGAAGTGGATGGAAAGACTTAGTATTTCATTACTGGCATCCATTTTTGGTTAAAAAAAAAAAAAGACAGAAAACAATAATGACAAATGAACAAAATTTAATGTAACTTTTTAATTAAAAGTGTGAATTGAACATTTTTAAAAAATGAAACCACGTAACCTTTTGATAAAATTTCTCTAACGCTCGTCTTTTCACTTCTATTTTTAACCATACATGTATCTAGCATATATTCCTAGAAAAAAGGAAAACTTTTTTTTCTAATTCTCACTTCCTATATTTGATCAGTATAAATAACAAACATCTTAGACACATAATTAAGCTATCTTACATGACACAGATATCTTTTTCAATGTTACCTTTTAAGGTTCTAAGCAACTATTTTTGACCTCACCTGTAACTTTGCATAAATATACTCAACATTCAGTTATTAATAATTTGAAACCTTCAGAAGTGTAAATTCAAATGAATTGTTTCAAAACATTTTTATAATTTCTGAACAGAACATCAAAAAGTAATGATGATTGTATTTTCCACAAATAATGTAAACTTTGCAACAACAATCCGTTAAAATATGCAAGAATATTTTATATTGTATGAAAGACAACTCATACTTAAGGACAGGTGAGATGATCTTGATACTGCGTTGGCTATCACACTGATTCTTTGCCCTTGATTCCTATAACATCCTTCAGGCATCTGAAAAACATTCATACACAGGTTGCAAAGGAAAGTTTCAAACTATGTTTTATATCATATTTGAAAGAAGGTGGACATGTAGCCTACTTGTATTTTCTTTAGAAAGTCAAATTTCAGAGCGAGAGCAATCTATCAAAAATATCAGTCTGTTTAGTTCACACGTTGCAGGATATGTGAAGTTTCAAACTTTCGTATCAAATTTGAATCAAATGGAGAGTCTTAGCGTTGAATGCTGACCATTACTTAAGGGCTTAAACAGATTAATTTATGTATGTAATTCAATCGCAAAACTACAGCCAAAAGACCATTCATTGAAGTTTGTGTTTCTACATAGATTGTTGAAATGTTGACTTAAATATTTTGAAATCTGTCTCTTTACTTTGCATGGGTACCAATTGTACCCCTATTTTTATATTCATTTGAAGCAGAATTTATTAAAAAAAAACTGAGAAGAAGAAAACACTTGCTGCGGCCTTCAACTCAGATATATATCGATGACGTATTATCAATTAACAATGAAAAAAACGTTAATGGAACCTAACAACAAAGCTTTATGATAAACGAGATGACTTCAATTTTTCAATCGTCAACTTCCCTTACTTATATAGCAATATATCCTTATCACCTGCATATGGCTTTTTTTTGTCTCCAAGTTGATTCGATACGCAAGAACATTAGGTCTACGTATGAACAATTTCTAAAAGGAGGCAAGTTATTGACAAACAAGTTGATGAAACAACAGTCTCCTTTGAAGTCATCATTTCGGAAGTTTTATGGTCGATACAATTGACCTTGTCAGCAAATACAACCTATCGTTAAGTCAAATGCTGATTGACGTTTTTCATACTAATTGTTAGGCCATTATTTGCACACTGAATTTTCTACGATTTTTTCCCCGTTTTTCACGATCATGACAAGGAGCAATACTGTTCGTTATCTCCAAATTTCATTTGTCAGAACAAATACCGAATTGTAATTATTTCTACTTTAGTAGGAGATCAATGAACCATATTCTGCATCTTTTTGGTACGCAAGTGGAGAAGAATTTCGTCTAAATATATGACAAATTGTCTGACTTTTGTCTGACTTTGACATTGATTTACATGTTACAGAAAATCTGCATTGGTTTGTAATCATAGGTGAACAATTATACCATTCCTCTAGCATACGTAGATTTACATTTTACATAAACATTCCTCTCGTGTTATAACATTGTCAGACTTGAAACAAATTTTAAGCATTACCATCCATAAAGGAGAATTTTAAAATGTATATCACTAAATATTATGTGGTCAATTACATATTATTATTTTGAACAAAAATGAATTAATGGAGAATATACTTTATGTTGAGACATATCATTAGGGTTCTTACTCCATTCTCTTAAAAGTTTTCAATTAAAAACGACATACACAGATAGCACTGACTTAACACCCTTTTATTTTCTTTTAAAGCATTCAGCCAACAAAAGGATATTCAAAAAGTTTCTTTCATTTTTAAAAACATTTCTTGTGGATTTAGATGAATAGATGACCTTGTCCATAACTATGACAAAGATGTGCACAATAAAATGTCAAGATAACGAACAACAATCACGCTCTAAAGTCAAATTAAACATTAAAAATTAAAAGCAGAGCAAACATGGACCCCTGGAAACATAACCCGTAGGGACCTCTTTGTCCTGATCGGGTAAATTGATTAATTTGTAGACAAATCAATACAAGAAAAATGGACTAACAATTTATATAATGCTGTTTTGACAACAGAATTTGAAAAATGTTGACTTTAAACGAGATTGTTGAGTCTTTGTAATATCAGCACATTTTTAGTTACCTGTCACGTTTGTACGTTCGAATGCTCTTGCGCGTCGAACCAGCTGGGATGTATAAACTCCAAATGGAGTTGATAATTGTATATTGCTAGAAAAACAAAGGAAGTTGATGATAGAGAAGTTAAGTTACCACGTTTATCATAAAGTTTACTTGTTAGTTTGCCATCAGTCTTTCTTATGTAAAACATTCAGACATGCAACAGATGTGTGATACTCTGTAATGTCATCCATTTTGACTTTAGTAGGTTAAATTTATTCAACGTATGAATAAAATGAATTATTAATTGATAAAGGGTCATCAATATATCTGAATCTCGAATTGAAGGCCAAGAAGAGGCATCTTCTTTTCATATAGAAGTTTTGAATAGATTCTGCTTCATAACAATACAAAAAAAAA